TCAATTTAGTTGCTAAGAAATGGAAGAAAGTCGTGGGTTCGGAGATCTGTGGGCGTAGGCAAAATTGTGAAAGGAAAATTTCATTAAAATTTGATATATTTATTATTGGACATAGAATAATTTTCATAAATGGGATATATCTATTCGTATATTATTTTCAAACCGTCTTATATACTATATGAATTTCTAGATACATTTGTAATGTTGAAGTTTCCTATTACATTAAAAGTCAAAAAAATTCATAATAGTAGGTACTTAGAAATTTATCCAATAAGTCTAATTTTTTGTGTTATATTTTCTGTTAATAATTGTTTTAAATTATTGCTTTTTATATGTCTAACTATTTTTTTATTTTTTTTATAAAATCCAACATTTATTTACCAGCAAATTTTTATCATCTTATTTTAGGCTCAAATATTTTTATGTCGTCAAATTTTATATATGATCAATCAACTATCACACGTTCTTGTTTTCGTGATACAAAAATATTTAATTTATAATTTTCCCAATAAAATATTTCATAAAATTAAATCGGCTCGTTTGTGCATGATATATTTCTATTTCTACAAGGATTGTGCGCCCAAGAATAAAATTGGGTGATGACTTGGTGATTTTTCTGAATTTCATCATAAATAATAGATTTAAGTGGGTATGTACAATCTGTTCTTTAGAAATAGTAAATTTGATATGTTATTAATTTTGTTTACTCCACATTTATTTGAAGGTCGTTCTTGATATAATTTCGGAATACATTTGAAATATTTATTCTTATTGGAAACTATTTTGTAATTCTTAAAAGCAACAAGATTTCTTTTAGAATCTGTTCTGAACTTGTATTTATTAGTTATTAAAATTTGTATTTATTAACATAACTATTATTTGAAGGATATTCTTTACACATATGTTAGCACTTGTTCGGACTTGCAAGATCCAAAAATGTGTATCTATATATTTCTTTATAACTTTTTATTTGAAATACTAATAGGGCATGTGATCAAATCAAATAGAGCTTCATTTAATAATCTTAAATATTTTTAAAAAAAAATTAAGTCATAGATTCATACAATTAATTATATATCTGGTTTATAAATATATTTTTGTCAGAATTATATATATATATATATATATATATATTTAATGTTTTTGCCGCTGCTTCAGAGATGGCGCAATGGGTCTTAAAACGAATCTTAAACACATTTAAACAGTTTTTTAAGCGGATTTTAATAAAATAAGACAAATATGCTCATTTTTGTTTCAAATAATAAGAAATTATCATTAGTACTTTACTAAAAAAAATTATATTGCACATTAATTCATAGATACTATTTGATATTTGTAGTTTTATATTACAAGATGAATAATATGCTTTACGTTTTTAGCGTATATTTAATATAATTTAGGAAATATAAATTTTTATAGTTAGCAATTCTAGGAGAAATATGAAAATTGTAATAAATTCAATTAGTAGAACAAACATCTAAAATATCTGACTATTGCACTTTTTTCAACAATGCATTAGACAAATTAGTTACTAATTCAGATCAATTTTAAATGATTAAATTGTTAGACGATCATTATTATTATTTTTATTATTAATATAATATATTTTTTGTAACAAATATTCATTATATTTTCAACTAATGTAAAATCTTATAGCTTCTGTTAAAACTAACGATATATCAAGTTTCATAAAATCAAGACACAAAATTATTTTAGCATTTCTTCATTTGTATTTTATATATTGGTTGTTTCGTTATTTTTGAAAATTTTGAATTGTATATCTAAATAATACATCTAAAATATAAATATAAATAAATATAAAGATAGATTCTACTGTTAGGACAAATTTTATATTTCTAAATGCTTTTCAACGATAAAATTATTAATTTTAGGTTTTTTTGTTAATAATAAATTTTTGAAGCATATAGAAATAGCAAACGTAAAACGCATATAATTATTATTTTTAATTAATATTTTTAGCTTCCAATTTTAGTCTTCAAAAGACTATATTATTACAACTATTATCAATGTTGTATGTTTTTTAAACAATGAATTAGATAAAAATTAAATTATCAGTACAGATAAATTTTTAATGATTAAATGATTTGATAAATATTAGTCTTGGTTTTTTACTTATTTTTGAAACATTTGTCTATTATTCTGCAAATTTAATACTATTTAACTAAAAACAAGATAGCTTTTCAATTTATCTATTAGGACTAATTTCTAAAACATGTTTTGTGTAGTTTTGAGCAATAAATTGTATAAATATTAAATCATCCAAAAATCATATTTTCACAAATGTGACAATACCAATGTGACATTTACCCGTTATTTACACAAAAATATCATCGTACCTTGTAAATTGTAAATTATCTCCTAAGATAATGTACCCAGAGCAACATGAGCAACACGAGTAACAACCTACAAGAAGTGTGTTGTATGAGGTCCGCGCTTTTGATGTGCGAGCGATATGTAACACTTGTAGATTTTGTAAACAATGAAATATAGATAAGATGAAATTATCCCACGATCTGCTTTGTTTATTTGTCGTTTGAGCTAATATTTGCCTAACTAGACTTTTATTGCTGATACGGGATGAGAAATATCGATTTTAAAGTTGCTGAAACGGAGATAAGGATTAGAAGATTTATGGTTGGAGCACACCTACAATCATCGCAATAATTAGTTTTTACATAATTTTTTATCTAATCTAGCCATACAATATGCGCATAATAATATAATATCTTCATACTGATTAAAATTGGCTTTGAAAATAATTTTTTTATCATTTTTTAACACCAGTCAGAATCTTACGTCCTATAGGCTGTTGGGCTCAAACTTCTTACAGCAAAAAATAAATTTATACCATATCTCAATATTAGCACAAAATACATTTAAAATGTAGATTAAACATTACTTAAATTCAACATTAAGTAACTACGACTGGTGAATTTATGGACTAAAATTTATACTAAATAGTTTTAGTTCTTAAACATTTCGAATATTATAGTTCCCTTACAAATGTGATTTTTGTGTTATGCTTTTTTTTAATATAGTACGTTCCATATTGAAACCAAGAAATACACTTGGCAAATTATTTATGAATCACATTTAATTTCTACGCTTACATATAATAAAAAAAAATACAACCCGTAAAATTTTATGTACCAAAACTTATGTGTTAGAGCAATAATTTTATAATATTACGATAGTTGTTTAATAAATTTGATTTTCATATTATTTGTTCCCCACTACAATCAATAATGCAGCAATAACATACGCTTTAAAAATTTATATCATTTAAATTCAACACTTTCATTCAAATGGAGAAACTACAATCGGAAGAATTTTAAGGGCGAAAAATTTTACTCTATTATATTACGACAGTAGGTTAATAATAAATCTGATTTTTTGTGTTACGATTTTTGTTACTATTGTATTGAATTTTGCATGAATTTTTAACAATATCTCTATCTTCAATATTACACAATATACAAGATTATAAATAATTTTTAACATTTAAATTAATAATGATTTTTTTATAATCATCAATATATTTATTATTGACTATTGTGTTAAATACTTTTTTGTATAATATTTTTTTGTGATATGTAAGATATCGATATTAAGCTATTTTTTTATTTTTAATTTCGCGCTTGATGATACTTTTAATAACAGGAGGTATTTTTAGAGATTTAAAGTCAAGATTAAAAAGTAATCTTGCAAGTAACTAATGTTTTATAATCGTATTTTAGACTCTCATATTGTTACATTATTTTCTAATAGAATTAAATATTCAACATTTAATTACACCTTTTTTATCAAATTATTTTACTACATTTTTAGTGACACCTGAATCAGAAAATGTGATTGTTATTATAAAAATCGATAATCGCATAATGCATAATCGCATATTGCAGTTAATGCAATATTATATGCTATTTTATTATCACAAATTTGTTAATATAATTATTTTAATATCACAATTAATAGCAAAATATCAAATTTATTTTAGTGAAAAAAAATTCTTAAGAAGTACCGTTTATTTATATGAAGCTTTTCCAGAGACTTCAACTCCCGATAGAAACTAAACCCGCCGAATACATACACTGCAGTTTTAATTCAATTTTTGAAAAAATCTTAGGTTTTCAGTAAATCGTCAGAATACTTCATTATTATGTTATTAATAATTTTCTGCTCCTAATAAATAGCTGTTTCTACGATTCGAATCACGTATTGGTAATTATCTATAGCGCGTATTACAAAATCACAATTTCGCATTCCATTCTTGATTTTCCACATAGCATTTGATTGCGGAATGCAAGACGAAAATTTAATTTTACTTGGTGATCGATAATAAAATGTTCGATATATTGAGTAAATTTATAGATGACAATACTTGAGAAATTTTAAGAAAGTTTGCTCAAAACAACTTGGTCTTATTGAAAAAAATTTTTATTCATTTTTTTATAAGTTCCACATATAATAATTAAGGAGTAAAATATTTAAACAAATTTTTTTTGAAAAGCGTCAAAACAAAATTTTATATTATAATTTTGCCACAAGTTTTATGGATTTTCAATATTGGATGAAATTTATAACTTTTTTAGAATGTCTTGAGTTTCTACTTCAGACAAACAAATTTCACTTTGGTCTACACTGTTTTCGAACATTGTACTCTTATTTATATATAACACTGTATTTTAGTTAAAAACTTTTTAGTTGAATTAAATCAGTTTTAAATAATTTCTTATCATTTTCTTAATAGCAAAACTTTGTAATTTCATATTTAGAGATGGTGATATGGGAGATATCAAAATATAGACACGGTTTATTCTCAGATTCATTTTTGCTTCATTAAAAGGTAATTTAAAAGAAATAAAAATTATTTAGAATGATTTATTGTTTCTTTTATCAACGTCAAATTTTACACTGTCAAATTTAATTTTGTTCAGAAATTCGGATCACTAATAATTATATAAAAAATAAATTCTTACCTTGAACAGTCCAAATATCTAGCAGCGACTATATATTTTTATATAGTAATCTTTTATTCTGGGAGTCACGTAAGTCAAGTTAATCTGCTAATCAAATTTCTTGCACATTTTATATTTACTATTCACTAAATCCATAAGTTTGCCACAGAAAACATCCAATATAACACTGTTATTATTGACACGTTTAATTATTAGTCCAACTAATTTAAAAACAGTTTGTAAAAGTCATTAACATTCATTAAAGTTCGAAATTTGAACTTCTCAATCAGAGCACGCTGTGTGGTCGAACTGTTAGTACAAAGTTGTTAATTTGTACTAATTTATTACGAAAACTCGATGGAATAATAAAAGAAATATTTTGGTCACACTGGGGGTAATAGACACAGGTGGATAAAATTGAATTTATCAGTTTTCAACACTTTGTCACGCACTTGGTCCAAATTTTCAAATCACCACACGACAGTCTTTTGCCGGTTCAAAAAATCCACAAAAAACACCAAAAAAATCACAAAATTCATCCGCGTGATCTGGGAATCCAAATAAACAACAAAACAATTTTTTTATAATTTTTTCGATTTTTTAACACGTAAAATATCTATTCAACACTACGGATTACTACGAGCACATGCATCGCCAAGCACAGCCCACGGCCGTATGAAGAGAGCGCCGAAGTCTGAGGTCTGAAGACTCCGAGCATCGAAATCTCTCACCACAGGTAACAAGTGATTTACCTGTGCAAGGGGGCGGAGTCACTCTTAGACGAAACGTAGAATCGCTTAGATGGGCGTCAACCGTTGTACCGATCCGAAGAAATGTTAAGGTTTACGGTGATCTCAGTTCACGGCGGACTCGCGACTTAGAAGGAAATATTTGAAAATAATATAAATATAAAAGTATAAAGCTAATTATTTTGCGTAACAAAATTAATCGCATTGAAAGTTTGAAATTGTATTCTTAAAAACTCGTAATTTTTTTTTTTAATTTGTTGTAAACAATATATGAGAAAAAGAAAACATGATAATGAACTACATGAAATAAAGTATATGGAAAAATTGCTATTGCTATTAATTACAAATATACTATTAAATTAAATTCATATTTTAACATTTCTAAGAAATGTATGCAAAAGTTATGCTGCGATATCTGTATGAAGTTCGATGAATTTTTTCTTATAAAGCTAAATTATTCCCAAATATCTTTGATGCTTGTGACAAAGTATTCAAATTAATTTTTAAATAAGTTTACAAAGGACTGATTCACTCAACATTTAAATAATCTTAGGTAGAAATATTTAGAAATATTATGATAACAAATTAACTATAATTCTAAAGAAATTAATCACATTAAGAGATTGAGCTCGTATTTTTAATATAGAACTGTATAATTACAAAAATGCTCCGAATTATAAATAGAGGACTAAATTAAAAGTTTGCAAAAAATGTTATTACTACGATATATGTATGAATTTTGATGATACTTTATGATGGTTGTTGATGATAGTTTTAGTTAAAATACTAAATTATTCTGCAAAGTCTTTAATAATTATGATTGCATTAAATTGCATTTGTTATCAGTTTACTATGGACTCTCCATATAAAAAATGATATTAGGAGGAAATATTTGAAGTATATTTTATAAAAAATATTTTTTATGTATATGTATACCATATATACATATATTAAAATCTGTCTATAATTTATGACTTGTACACCTAGATTTCACAATTTTTTAATTACTATCTTACTCAGACTTTATTAAATTAAATGTTGAGTATTACAATCATAAAAAATAGTACCAAATTAGTAAAGTAAAGTAAATACAAAATTTAATCTGTGACATACTTTTGCACTAGTGTAGAGTAATAATTGCGAAAAATTTTCAAATTAGGAATGATAAATTGATGAATAGAGAATTATTCTAATTATTTAAAATATTTTGAGAGTACATGCAAACTTTCTACAAGTATTATTATTTACCATAATTCTTGCATTTAGTGGATTTGAATCTTTTTATTAATTTTTTTCTGAGATTTTGAGAAAATATGAGAAACATTAAGATAATTTTTTTAATATATGAATGAAAATAGAGCAAAATTACGGTTTTTTTTTGAATAAAGATTTTTACTATTAGTCAATAGTTATGTTCAAGAAGTCTTTCAAGCGAGTTACATGTATCTACATTATTACTTCTAAAATTATTATCACTTTCTATCATCACAATGCAAACTTGTATTTATTTTAAAGATTTTTTCTTTTTTCAGGAGTTATTAAGCTGATGAATTATATAAAGCAGTACAATATACGTTCATACCAATCCTAAAAAAATATAATGTTTGTGTTTTCAAATAGCGATAAAATGTAACAAAGATTAAAAAAATAGAGAAAAATTGTTTTAAATAAAAACAATTTTATTTAAAATAATTTTTCTCTATTTTTTTAATCTTTGTTACATTTTATCGCTCAATAGCTAAACTAATTGCATAGATACCCTTATGTGTAAATTACTTTTAAATTGTTTAAAATATACTATTTTTATTGAATATTCGAAAAAATATATATGTAAAAAAATGCATAAGTACATATCAAGATGGTTATTAATTTTTTTTCCTAAATTAAGTACTATATATAGTAAATGCAGTTACAATTATGCAATATATTCTCTTAGCAATCAAAATTACATATAATTCTATGCAATATATAATTTTAAATTTATCAAATATTTGTTTTTTGGAGTAGATATTTCATCATTGACCTCGAAAATGTATATAAGTTATAATTTCATCGGCGCCAATTTTTTAGTATTTCAAGTGTTACGTGAAACGCTTCAAGGTGTTATAATTAGTGACTTCGTCTATTTATGATATCATCTATATTCTTTGTTTGAATGTTACTGTTCAATAATGACGCTTTTAGTATTATACAATATAGTTAAAACAGGTTTTATTTGATATAATTACATATAATGAGTTTAAGTTTATTCTGATATATTTTTCATGGATTATTTTCAAGCTGACTTAGATCTTTTTTGGCCATAATTTGTTAAAATTTTAAAATAGTTGCATATATGGAACATGCAAAGTATTATCTATAAATCTAAGAATCACATCGTTATTTATTAAAATACTTTTCTTTTATATAATTTTTTTTATACTTTTTATGAACTTTTTACTCAATTTATTTTCCAAATTAATTTTTCATAAATTTAGATAATTTTAATTTTTTTAGGAAGTATGAATGATGTGAAGTATAATATAAAAACTTGCAATATCTTATATGAATCTGTAATATATTTTTTTGTATGCAAAACATTATCTCAGATTAAAAGCAAATAAAAGGTAGTAGTAAAATTTAAATTAAATTCGTTAATATTGACTTTCGTTAATCCGACTGAAAGCTTTGACAATGCATAATAAATTCTTGTGATGAAAAATACAATTTTAAAATAAGACATTTACATAATGTTTTGTTTTAGAAAATACTTAGCAAACTAAGTTACTAGTGTAACCATTTATCAAAAGTATCTTTTACAACATGTTTTTATATTAAGTTCAAAAAGCTTGTATGGTGATATCGATGCGTGTTTCTGAAGCAAACCCGCACTGGCGTCGAGCTTTATCTCTATATATTTTATTTTTAAGCACTAGATGGTGCAACAAGTGCCTTTAGTCTTCACAAGAAACCCTTTTGCGGACTATATGAATTATATAGGTATTTATTTATTTTTAACTATAACAAATGTAATTTTTCTGAAATGATATATATATATATATATATATATATATATATATATATAGTTGTTAATGTTTTCTTTGGCAAGAATTTTTACGAAAATTGAATTGAAAAAAAAAATTATTTCAATTTATATACAAATATTCTGTTTTTAAAAAACAATTACATAAAATGCCATTAAATGAATCGCGATTATCGTTAATTGCAAATTGCATCCATATTAAAAAAAAATAAAACAATAATTCTGCAATTATTACATTTGCATGGATTTCGACAATTTTTTAATTATTTATTTATCAAATATATTCAATAATTGCTACTATGAATAACTTGTTCCGTAAAAATGCTTTATTCTGATTTTTTTTATTTAAAATTAATAGGAGGGCAACAATAGTTCAAACCTCAATTAAGTTTATAATTTTAGAAAACACGTTTTGTTATATTAGTTTTACAAAAATAATCAATATCTTCTTGAACTATAATATATAATATGTGATAGATATTTTGTTTTCATGCCTAAAATATGAATGTTGCTAAAGTTTGCTATTATAATTAAATATACTTTTAATATTTTAAATTGTCAAAACTTTGGAATTGAGATAAAATAAAGCCTAGTTTGTTATTTTGCATCAAAATATAGAATAACCAATAACCAAATATATAAATGAACCAAGAAATTGGAACCATTATCGGGCATCAAAACACAATAGTTATCAATTTTAATTTAAATTCAAATTTAAAATATATTTTTAATTATATAATGTAGTTCACACTTTAATGATCTTATATAGACACTTTTACCCTGAAGTATTACTTTTTCATAAATTTTATATACTGTTATAATAGACTTTGTATACATTGGTATGTATAATATCGGGCACGTGGAAACAAAGAATAGATTTCACATTTGTTAAAAACATCACAACAATATTTGGCAAAATGAAAAAAGTTTTAATTATATATATCGGGATATAGTTATCCCGATATTTAGCATTTGGCAACAGGATATAGTTATCTCTATATACCTTTTGCAGGATATAGTTGTCAATATACCTTTTGCGGATACAACTCAGTATCCTAAAGCGCTATATATTTCAAATATTTTTATCAAATATGTATTTTGATATACAATGTCCCTATTACGGCTGACAATTGTAAACCAACAAATTTGTTAAATGTCTTAAATTCATAGTTGTAAATATAGTAGTGAAAAAAATTTATTGTTGCAATAAAATCAAGAGCATTGTTCGAAAATTCGGAAACAATAAATTCAGATATTACTAAAACAAAATTGTATATCAATAATAAAAATAAAATTAAACAAATTTTAATATACTAATATTTCAATTTGTGTTATAAAATTTTGCTACATTTAGCAAAATTTTTCGGCGCCACGGGTTTTAAGTCATCAATTTTCCTGATAAAGATTGAAATAACTTAGTCATTGTAATAAGAAATATGTAATAAGAAATTATTTATATGTAAATAGTTAAGATTATATCATTATCAATAAAACATTGTTAACATTATAACTAATGAGAAACAACTATTG